CCCGCCGTGCCGCCATGCCCACCTCAGAGGGGTCCCAGCCCGGCCGCGCTGCCGCTTCCCGCAGCCCGTGAGGGGCAAAGCGGCGAGTCAGTCCTGTCTGCAAAGGAGATTGCAAATGGGGAAATAACGCTGAGAAAAACAAGGCGCACAAAGACTTGCCATGCTGAGCGCTGCCCCGGGGTATGGGGCACCTCGGACGAGCATCCTGGGTGCCTCGGCTGCTTCCTTATGGGTGCATCTCCTTGCGTTGACACAGACGCTTTCTTAAGGCTCTGTAAGCAGCAAGGGAAAGGTGCAGCATACAAGCAAGGTGGGTTTCAGATCCTTATTGCGGTGTATTTCCACGGGTGATGCTGCTCCCCCAGGATCGTGGTCGGCCGCGTCGTCCCCTGGGTCTGTGAGGAGCAGCCCGTCAGGCCGGGCAGCGTGGCAGGAGGCTGCCAGTCTTGGTTTCCTCATGTGTGTTTCTTCAGTGCATCTCAGCTAGAGTTTTCTTGGGTTTTCCACAGGTATATTAATTTACCAGTAAATCCTGCATTTTCTTTTTTTTTTTTTTTTTTAATTTGTACATGATTTTCTCCTATATGAAACATTTTCCACAGCCGCCTCTGGCTGCACGGAGCTACCATGACATTTTTTTTTTTTCCTGTCATTGAAACTTCTCTAAATCCCCTGTCATTTGCGGTGCTTATTGGAGGAAAATCACCACGTCCACTTTTAACTCTGTTGAAAAGAGCCTCACACCTCCAAGCGTAATCATTTTTGTGGTGGAGTGTTACCTCCTGTGCAAAGTACAGCGACAGGCAATGGGCCTCCCCGTCTCTGGATCAGAGGTGGCTGACGTTACACCTGGAACTAACACATTTATTAAACTTCAGAACCAGCCTGGGAAGCTAGGTAGGCTTCTCTGTATCCTTTTTTGACTACAGGTGGATGGAGGATATTTTACGTGGATTTGCTATATGACATCTGTTTAAAAGGAAGGCTGCTGGCTGTGCCGGCAAATGCTGTCTTCCCTGTGGAATCCACTTCTGGGTGGGCAAGGGAGGAAAGGAAAAAGCAAAAAGCTTTATCCTTTTCTCCAAGCAGTCATGGAAAAATAATGCTGTACAGAAGAAAAGTGCATTTTGAGCTCGTGTTTGTCAGCAGGACGAGCTGACCATACAATGAAGCTGGCAAGTTTGTTGAAATTCTTTGTGGACAATGTAAATATATTTCTTGTGAGTAATAGCTAGGCTTCCTTGTCTCTTTCTGCTTCCTGAGAAAACGTTTTGCTGAAAACATATTGTATTAGGAATTTTTTTTGTGCCTGCCCCTCCTATCTTCCCCCCCCCGCTCCCCTGCCGATTGTCAGATTGTAGTGACAGGAGTGAAGCTGGGCCTGTGTTCATACGGCAGATCTGCTCCTTCACCTCTCAGACCTCTGAAGGCTTGCACTCAAATCAAGGTCTGATCCAAAACTGGAAAAGGATTGCTTTTTGGATGCATTGTACAACACCATGTAATCTCAGCTTGGTATACTCTTAGAAATGGGGAGGACCTACTGAAGTCTGGGGAGTCCCTAGTTGCTGTTCAACCTTTTGGTGAACGGACTCTACCGTGACAGCCGTTACAGGTGAACCCTAAACCAAAACGCAAGCTGCTTCCGAAGGACAGAGTTCTCATAAGCAAAGCTACATGCAGACTTTGGTAATCTTCCAGAACGTTTTGGTCTGTGCACTCTTGAGCACGGTCAGTTCATACATCTGGTTTTCTGCAATCCAAGTGCTAGTCTACCTCTGGCTTCATTCAGACTGACAAAGCCCCTGCTTGTCCCTTTTGTTTTAAACCTGAAACACACATCTCTAGTGAATCTCGGTTTCTAGTGTTGTTTCATTTTCTATTGTACTCCAGTTCTCAGGCACAGAAGCTAAGCGGTCCTCAACTCTGGCTCCAACATATGTGAAATGTATTAGCAAAGTTCTGTGTTAACATTTCTGTACGTGGGAAAATACTGTTCTTTCTGGGTCTTTCTAAATATCTCTGTTCCTTCCCCCACCCTTTCCTGTATTATCACAGCTTGGCTATTAGTTCTTCGGGAGTTGCTGTCATTTCCTAGTGTCTTCGCAGTAAAAGAAGTTTCACGCCAAATGTAGCGTAGACAAAATTCTTGAAAATCAGGCACTTGAAAGTGCCTGAAGCTACCTGTGGAACAGCAGATTACTTTTCCATAACTGTCTTCACAAAAGAAAACCCACTTCAAGCCCTCCTGTCTTTTGCTGTTTTTTGAATTGAACAGCTTTTGCTGTAGATTTGTATTGATTTACTGCATTAACACTAGTCCTGCAATTGTCACGTCCTGCGCCAGAGCAGAATGTGTCTGCCTGGTTGCAAAGAGGTGCCTCTGACAAAGAACAAATTGAACTAGATCATTGACACAGATGCAGACTGTAGCATTTCCCTTTTCCTCATTGGCGTAAAAATTCAGATTCACGCAGTAAAAATGGTCATATTTGTCTATTCAGGTTTTATTCATGCTGAGGTTTGTGCAGAAGAGTACTTACAGAGGACAAACCATCTTTTCAAGAGGTTCTTTGTTTCTTCCTCTTAGTTATATTTTAATATATTTCATAATAAATAAGATCCTCCCACATCGTAACTAGTTGCTGTAAATGCTCCTCTTTATCCACATGGTAAACTGAGGCATAACCTAGTGAAAAGTTGCCCCCGTGAATCACTAGCAATAAATAACAGTAGACCCAGATCCTCCGTAGTTTCTTCCAGTCACCCTTAAGAGAGCTGCCTTTGAAATGAGAATCACTTCATGAATTTAGCAAATAATCTGAGTGGAGAGGGGTGGTGGGCTCTTACACATATTCCCAGCAGATGCAGGGGGCTGATTTAATGCGAAAGGCGTTGTTCTCAGTGGAGGCATCCTGAGGAGCATTCACATCGCTGGTCTTTAAAACAGGAGCCCCCAGTCCTACGGGACTTTTGTATGTGATTGCGTTGTTTACCATGTTGCTTGTAAATCTTGAAAGAGCGATAAAACGGGAGTCTTTCAGAGTACTTAAAACAGCCTGAAAACAAAGCGTCTTTCCTCTTAATTTCTTGATGCATTCCCTACTTGTGGCATGTTGAGAGATGTAAGGGACATAGCTAACACAGAGATGTTCAACAGACGGATAAGTGGAATACCGTTTATCCTGGTTAACTGGCGAGCCAAGTGTTTGTACAGACGTGAAGTTATACCGGGTAAATCCACGGTACCCTTTCCTTCACTGTGAGAAAGCTGCCTGTCCCCTACCTGATGGGCTGGGTGTGTGCACCAGCTCTGCTGAGCAAGGTGCCGTGCTCAAAGCGATCTTGCTATGTGCAGGTAATACCCAGATGACCCATGTGAAATAAAACCTCCAGAAACCTGCTGACACAAGAAATGTCCCAATGTACTGCAAATCCCACCGCCCTCCCCCCAAAAAAAATGCAAACCCAACCCTAAACATTGTGAAGAAAATAGGGGGAAAAAAGTCACATTCCTCTTCTGAATGAGTGTTGTGTGGATTCCCCTTCAGCAAGGACGAAAGAAATAAAAACTCAAGGCAATGAAAATACAGGTCTCTTGTTCAACTTTAATCTTTCATTTATGTGTGCTTCTCAAAAGTTTTTCAGTTAGCTAAAAATACAGTTAAAGTCTTAATCATTCCTCTAAACTTCAAAAGGTGAATTTGCTTTCCCATGTGGGGTTTTTTAAGCTTATATTGTTGATTGTTAAATATGAAAATAATTTTTCACCCTGCTTTTTCTCCTTTGGTGAGCTGCGGTTAGTCTCACTGCCATGATTTTCCTGAAAATGGCCATAGAGCTGTAGCATAAAGTCATCTCTGCAAACATTGCCCTAAAGAAAAAAATACAAGTCTGCTAATATGAAATCTGATTTTGATGTCGCCAAATTCTAAAATTCTAAAAGAAGCTGTAACATATTATATGGCGATAGCCGAAGAAAACTGTTATGGCTGTCTTCAGAGAGAGAACTGGAATAATATAAGGAAATCCCATTTCCCAATATATTGAGCTTTTCTGTAAGTAATTGGGTAGAATCTGAAGAAATCAGTTCAAATCACAATCTTCTTGGAAAAACTATGAATCTTAACCATATGTGAATATTGCAGGTATGTTATTATTAAAAAAAAAAGTAAAAGGAAATGTTCACACTGAAATGCTCAAACTGACATTTAAAAACTTCTAAAATGTGATACCGGAAAGAGCCGTTTCTTGAGCTGTCCCATTTTATTAGGCAAATGAAAACTGCAAAGGATGATCAAAGTCTCATGCTTCAAATGCAGCCCTCCAAAGAGAGGGAATTTCCACAGATGTGCAACTGGTACATGTAGTTGAACATCCCTGTTTCTTTCTAGCACATCGTATCGGCCACGGGCATCCCAGAGTAGGATTCCGTACTAGGGTGAATAAATAGGCTTAACAGAGGAACCTGAAATCCAGAATCAGTAGATTAGATGAAAGGAATCCAGTATCCTTATCTAAAAATTAACTTTAGATATTCTGAAGGAAGAAGGGCGTAAAATTGTGTTAGTACAGATGAAATTTGTCACATATCCTTCACTAGGTAGGATGACCCAGATGTTGCTCAATTGTGTGTGAGCAGTTTTTCTTTGCTCTGTATTGTACCTTCATGTAGGACAATGTAGGGATGACAGGAATTACTCCACGTGTTACTGTCTTCCTGATTTGCAGTGTTGAATGTAAACATACTCCAAACAAAACCCTTCATAGGCACTTAAGAACAGATTCCTCTTGAAGGTCCTCTGTATAGCTTGTACAGTGTCCTTCCAGTGTTGTGTTAAAACTACAGGCTTGCAGATAATCCATCCTAATGTTTTCTTTAAGTGGTTTTTTTTTAATTTGAATCTTCATAGCTTTATCTTACAGTTCCTTTGAATTCTTGTGATTTAGTGCAATGGGTTTCATTTTATATAAGAGCAGCAACAGAAGTCCTTGGTTAGTGTCTGGAGGAGGACAAGGTTAAATTCTATATTGAGATACGATTCATGAGTTGGTAGTTAGAGAGGCTACTTGAGACAAAGAACCAACAGCAGCAACAACAAAAAAAAAAAACCTCCAAAAAGCCCAGAACCTTGCGTGAGGTGAGAAGTGTTCATTGGAAAAGAGAACTCAGGATGTACGTAAGCGTCAGGACCAACATTAAAACCTTAGCAGTAGGCAGGGGGATGCTGGCGCTGGACCAGTACACCTTTCGTTCATTCAGAAACTGAACAGGCCGGAAATTTTCAACCATGTAAGTTGAGTTCTTCCCATCAAAGCGAACTGTTGAGAACTGAGAAATCTGCAGACATCGAATAAGAAAATAGATCGTTAAATCCTTTTTCCCTGGAACACTGGAAATGGTGATGATATAAGTCTGCAGTGCCTTACTCTGTGGCATTGTTTTGAACTGCATGGATGCATTAAACCTGCAGGAAACAATGTGGTGGAGGCTACTGCCAGAGGTCACCAACAGATGACTTCTTTTAGCCTTGGAAATCGTGGGGACTTCCTTTCTGTGCGAGCCAAATGCTTTGTCCGGCTCAAGGACCTGGTTACACCAGTCCTCTTGACGCACACAGTCCTGTCCTTGTCCATCACGTCACAGTGACACAAAGTAAGAGGACTAGGATTTCTTTCTTCGCTTCGAATTTCTAACTGCTTCAGCAAGAAGCTGGCCCAGAGCAAGCCGATGCTCACTCTTGTGTACTGTGCTGTGCTGACTTGTGTGTGGCTGAGCATTGCCCTGTGACTGAAGTGATTATGAGTACGCTGCAGGTAGGGAACTAAAATACAGATGCTGACTCTCAGCCAGGCTGTGCTGGCTAGTAGTATTGCTGAGAGTCCACTCCAGGACACCTGAATTGTTTAATCATGTACTCTGTCAGCTGAACAATCTGTATTTTCGAGGCAGTCATGACTCAGCCTTCTGTTCCTCTCTATAGGACAAAAATATGTTGCTTAAAGCTGATGCTGATAGACTCAAAGTTTGCATTTTGAAGTATTCTCTTCTGGTATCCTGACACTTACGACAAAAGGAGAAAAGCGGTGAAATTTGGGGGTGAGCAGCTGACTGCAGTGGAAGTGCTGCTGACGAAGCGCTGAGCTAGGTGTTTACCTGTGGGTTCGTTTGGCTTTCTTTTCACATCGTCATTTCCCCTTCCTTCCCCTTTCCTGCCATTTTTTGAGATCATTTAATAGGGTCGAAAAACTGGCACTAGGGACTATGTTTAGGCACATGCCAAGCATGTGCGTGTTTGTCATAGGAACACCCCAGCGGAGCAGCTCACGAGTCTGTGCTGAATTGTGGGAGGGAGCAGGCAGTCAGAGGGACGAAACAACCGTAAGCAGACCTTTCAGGCTGTCCCTCTGCGACTTACCTGAGAAATACTGAGTTCAATTGGCTTCTCAAACACCGTCCAGATGACTCCCTCATGGCAGTCGGGAGTGGTGAGGGAGCCCTCATACCGATAGTACCTTCCAAGGTCTTCCTCAGGTGGAAGAAGAGAACTCAGCGGCAAAGGCTCAATCTGTGCTGTTTGCCCTAGACAAACCACGTGGAAACAGCGTTTGTAACAAGCGCGGCTGCAGGTATTGTTCACATTTGTCTTCAAATGCGGCTGCTGCCCATGGCTGTGTGAAGCCTCATCCCCACGCGCGCGTCCCTCGCCGCCCGGGGCAGCCGCACCGCACTGCTCGTGGAACCCCTGACGGCCAACTGCAGGGTCCCACAGAGCACGAGTTTCGCACACCTCTCGTGTTAACGCGCTGCGTGTTTTTCTCCTCACTTTGCTTCCCCCTGCAGAAGCAGGAATAGTCATTCTGGTGCTAGGGGGGGTTTCTTTGCTGCAAATATGGAGAACTAGATATTCTCCCACCCGCGATGCTCTGAGTGCTTGGCAAACTAACCTTTATCTTTTGGCTTTGACTTTCAAGTAACAACCCCTACTGTAATTAGAACAGGACTGGCCCATGAATTACCTGGTGGTATATGTGCTCGAAATAAATATATGTTGCATTTTGACCCACACAAGCGTCTTACCTTTGTATTTAATATTGTCTAATTCATTTATTAGAGTTGCATAGTTTTTATTTTCGTCTTCAACCTGAAATGGAAATATTTTGATTCCAAATCATGCATTTCTCAACAACTGGTTGCTTTAAATTAATTGTGAATAGAACAGAAAAGAACCACAAGGGTAAAAGATAACAGCAAGCAGAATATAGAAAAGGGTAAAGGAACTAAGTGCTGGCACTGAATGCCTGCAGAAGATAGGGAGGCTTAGGTCTTGGACTACTGTAACATTAACACAATCGATCACTCGGCCAAATTGCTGGTAGATTTGAGATGGGCGATTAAAAATTTGGCTACCTACCTTTATAAAGAATGCTAACACAGCCACACCATCTGCATTTTTCTTCGCTTCTGTCATATCCGAAACATCTTCTCTTATGTGGACAATGTGAAGCTGTAACACAATAGTCAAGGCCAATTATCTGTTCATTTTCCTCTACAGCTCGTTGTTGTAAGTGCAGCCTGGCTGCTTAGAATCACAGAATCATAGAATCATTGAGGTTGGAAAAGACCTCTAAGATCATCGAGTCCAACCGTCGACCCAACACCACCATGCCCACTAAACCATGTCCCTAAGCGCCTCATCTACACGTCTTTTAAATACTTCCAGGGATGGGGACTCCACCACTTCCCTGGGCAGCCTGTTCCAAGGTTTCACCACTCTTTCAGTAAAGACATTTTTCCTCATGTCCAATCTAAACCTCCCCTGGCGCAACTTGAGGCCGTTTCCTCTCGTCCTATCACTTGTTACTTGGGAGAAGAGACCGACCCCACCTCGCTACAGCCTCCTGTCAGGTAGTTGTAGAGAGCGATGAGGTCTCCCCTCAGCCTCCTTTTCTCCAGGCTGAACAACCCCAGTTCCCTCAGCCGCTCCTCATAAGTCCTGTGCTTCTCTGCGCCGACGCTGCAGTGGGGCCAGAGCTGCTTTGTTGCTCCCGGGCTGGGGACAGACAGCTCGAGGCCCTTGACCCGAGGCAGGAACTATGCAATAAGTGGACTATAATTTGAAACTTCATTCATCAACCATGGTATCATTTTGTACATCTCCCCAGAAGGTGAGGCGCTCTGTGGACTGCTGCAGCCCTCAATTTTCAGCCTGTGCAGTGGAACAGGCAGATTTTTATGTCACGGTTTGAAAGGGGGGTGGTTTCCTTCCACCAATCCATGTGTATCAGCGCTGGCGACTTGTCTTGCCTTGAAGAGAATATTTTTTTTTGGTTGCATAGGTCGATTCATGGTTGCAGTCCCAGAAACAAATATATAATCTGAATAAACAGTGTGGGACTGTAATCAGACTGTGTAGACTTTGAAATGTTTCTCCTCCCAAAAGGCTATATAACTCCAGATTTGTTGTCTGTCCTGTGCCTTTGCTATGCAAAACTAGTGTGTCTGCCTGCATGTTCTTAGCGAGCAACGTGGTTTTGTGCAACAGTAACTTAAAAATCCAGAGTTCTTGAGTAAAAGCCATAATCCACAAACAGGAGTCTCACCTACCTCCATGGCTTGTTTTTCTCCATCTATGCTGTGCTCTGACCCGGGAAGGTATTGCTGCACATCTTGGACTCCCCAGTGCAAATGAAATTCTATCGCCTTGTATTTTCTTCCCAGGCCTCCACCTCCAATTTTAGGGGATGTGCTTAGTGTTACTTTAACTGGGGAAAAACAAATAAGTAGTTTAAAAAAAAAACAAACAAACAGATCATACATTAATAGTATTTGAGAGAAGAGAGATGCATGTTCTTGAGATTCAAATTTATCCTAATGTTCTGGCTTGGTTTTTCATACCGAGTGTTTCAGAAGTTCAACTCTGCAGAAGCTGAACTCTTACAAAATGCTAGCTGAGATTAATTTGAGATGAAAAGGAGAAATATCATAGCCCACTTCCCGGTAATATGCAAGAGCATTTGGGCATCCCTCTGTGGCGCAGCACTTGGAGCTTCTGTTCCCATTTCTACCTAGGATTTGCTCTGTGAACTTGAATGACTTGCCTAGAGCCTCACTTGCTGGAGAGCTGAGCTATCCATGACTCCAGTTGAATAAATAATAATAAACAAAACGAATTTGGTGATACTTGTTTCCCTTTGTAAAATGGAGGAAAAGGGCAGAGCACTACTTTGGATTGTCCTGGGGAAAGGGTTTTACAGACTTTTATGGCATCCATTGATAAATCCTTTGGAGTATCATCGGTTAATTGCATTTTGAAGAAAACGGGTAATAGACTGTCTTTCCTTGAGTGCACTGAGGGGATCTGTAGGGGTTTGTTCACTGCCATTATAACCCCAGGAGTCAGAGCTACTTAGACCTTTCAGAAGACCCTATACTCCTTCATTTTTTGTCTAGGAGAACACCCTCTATCAAAGTATTCTTAAAAGTGAACTCGATCACAGTTTATTTGGGTTTTAAGCATTGTTTTTATCACCTATTGTCTTCACTGTAACATTTGTTTTAGGCAGGGTTTAAAGGTATTCTGTTTTAATTTAGAGTAGTGTTGCAACTTAAGCCTAAGCATCTAAGTCATTATATCTATTTAATGCGATGCTTGATCTGTTGTTAACAGCAAAACAAAATTTTCTTAGGAGATATTTTTCAAGCTATAAATCACCATAACTTCCTGTGCTTGAGACACGTGGGATATATTTTTAAAATTTACTTATTAAGATCTCTACATCAAGCACCGTACGTTGCTTTCCCTAGGAAAGATTGTTTTGACGTGGATTGAAGCCCCAGAGATTTCATTTCTGTTCTGAATTCCAAATGAACTGGAAGCTTGCGTGAGTCATTTAGTTACTTTGCTTTTTTATCTGTAAATGGATGAGCAATGTATCTTTGTTGGCTTTGTTTATTTAGATTGTAGGACCTTTGAGACACTGACCTTTGCTATCTGTACATCATCGAACATAATGATAGCCTAATCTTATGTAGAGCTTCTAATTGCAGCTGTAATTTAAGCAATAACAGTTCCAGTGTTGTACTCATTGTAGCACGGGAATTGGTTGCCCTTGGAAGGAAGAAATTTAAAAAGCCCAGATTAAAAACCTAATCCTTTTGCATGTTTGGGAAAGATGAAAATTCTGACCAATCCTTATGAATATTAATTTTTGTGTAAAAGATATTTCTATGCACAGTGACTGTAATATGGAGATTCTAGAATATCATTCTGTAATGAGAAAGTCATTAACCCATATACCAGTGAAAAGTCAAAACATGTCTTTTTCTTATGGTCTGCCAAAATACTGATATTTTAAACTAGAATCTCTGGCTGTGAAAATTGACCCAGCTGTCTACCTTCCTGCCTTTCCATTGTAAGTTAGGAAAGTATTTGCCACTTTGCAGCTTTCCATTGTAGGGATTTGGCAGTTAAAATAATCCATCGAAGATTTTAAGAACGCCTATAGATAATTTTTTTTTTTAAAAAAAAGGACAACAGATTTATTTTTAAAGTAATTTAGCATAATATTGTTGAAGCGTCATCGTTAGTACTGCTTTTAGTGGAGAAAAGCGGAGGAAGTGACACAGTGCTAAATTACTATTCACTGGTTCACTGGTTCCTGAATCGGTAAGTGGCTGATCGAGGAGCTCACATTAGATTACTTCCGCGTGCAGAGAAAACAGGTTCAAATCGAAGAAGATTTCAGCTCATTATTTAAAGGTAGTGGAGACACACACACTGTGAGCCGCTGGTTGAATGACTTTCCCAGATTATGATGTTCTTCGGCAGAATTCCTCTGTGTGCAGAAGCAAGAGTCAGAAAGGGCAAGCCCAGGAATGAAGGGTACAGGAGCATTCAGCAGCAGTTATATACCTCTGCCAAAACTCTTGTCTTAAACCCCTACACTCGCCCGCCTCCTAGTCCTAGAGGTTCCCTAGACATCTCGAGTTCTGTTTCTGCATATGCACAGCACCAATTTCTGCTGAGACGCTCAAGGACCACGTCCAGGATCCAAACACTAGATAATTCCCACCAAGTTCCCAGAAGACCTTGGTTCAATACAGTTTCGCTTCTGAAATGAAGGGGTGCTATCTTATTTTTGCTCGCTTGCTTTTAAGTAGCAGTAGTGATATCTAAGACCTTGCCTAGGACACGGGAGAAGCGAATGGATGGTTCCAAGTGAAGGCACAAGTAAATCCCATAATAACAGTAATAATTTGACAGTACTTGCCTGTATGTCCATTATTTTCTATGTTCCATTTTGAAGATCCCTTCACATCGTATCCTTCAAAACTCAGTGGCTTAAGGCTCTTGTCATAAACGACATTTTTGGTGACAAGATTGATAGGTGACTGTTTGTTTCCTTTGCAGGCGACAGCTGTTTGATACCATTGTCGAGGATCTATTTAAGGATGAAGAAAATGTTTTTTTTTCTGTAGACTGCAAATCCTTGATAAAGCCAAACCACCAAAGAGTCAATAGATTCTTGCTTGGGAAATTGGAGACGTTTTTGAAGAAAAGGTCTTTGGGCATTGGAATTTAATACAGGAACTTTCTTAGCATATCATTTTTTGTAATTTTAAAAATATTAATGTGCGTCAAGAATGTTCTGTTAAGCTTAATAGGAAAATATGCACATGTAAATGGCTGTAAAGAAGTAAGGGAACTACCACTGAGGTGTAAGGGAACTACCACTGAGGTTTGGCTGAACTAAGAAACTATAGAAACTTGGAAACCATAACAGAAAACAACAGGCAGTGGTTGTGGTGCTGGTGGTGTGGGTGTGAAATGCTGTTCCTTCCCCAGGGAGGGCTGGGCAGGACACAGGGAGGAGCAAGGGAGCAGGCAGCCTAGGTGGACGCTGCTGGTAAAACAAAAGGTGCGGCTGTAGGTAGAACATTAGGATTTTTCATAACTGTCCTTAAGAATTTAAATAGCTGTCTATACCCAGCTTGCTGGGGTGATCACCTCTGGCGCATATTTAGAGTTATTTTTATATTTGTAGCATTATCCTTGGTTGAAACAAAATGAAGAGTTAGAACAAACACTGGTATCTTCAAAATACCCTTCTTTAGGTATCCTGTTTAGCACTTATGTTTGCATATAACACGATCATGCAGTGTTAAATGCTGAGTTGTGTGAATTTTTGCATTATTTCTATAAAGAGGCCCTTTGCAAAACAGAAGAATCCAAGCACTAATGTGATTGGAAAAGTAAATTGTTTAGCAGTACCTTCACAGTGTGGCTGGTCATGCTTCTGTGACTGATAGCACCAATGGCCTCCGACTAAAAAAAAAAACCATAAAAAATCAGATATTGAAAATTAGATGAATGAAAAGCTGTACAAAGTGTCCCCCCCCAAAAGCAGATGTGAAATGGATTCGCAACTTGTGATCCTCAGAGAGTGATAACTGGGCACACAGTTTTGACAACTTCTTGGTTTTGTCTGCCTGATTTTATTAGAGTAAGATGTTTCATTTCTTAAATATGTAAACAACAGAGGCTGGTAAGAGGTGAGTGCTGTGGCTGTAAAGCGGGGAGCACACCGTCCAGCCAGTCTAACTGGGTTGCAGTATCAAATAATTCAGAAGATAATTCTGGCTCTCGCTAGATCTTCTGGTCTTGAATGAATCAGTTTACACTTGTTAATATTCATTCCAAAAACTGTGCTAGCATGAAATAGTAGAACTCTGGATGGGTTGCAGTTCTAAATAATATGGTTTTGAAACTTCGGCTTCAGCAACTTCTTGAGGCAAAAGTTCCACATCTGAATATATGTAGTGTTAAAATAAATGTCCTTTTATCAGTTCTGTACTTGCCATCCTTTCATATACTTGTAAATTCACTTACGCAAGATGACTTATCTCTCTCTGTTCCAGGAGCTGTTTTAAAGATTACTTGGTGCAATAAGGAGTTTTAAGAAATGAAGGATCTCATTTCCCGAAAGAGGTGAAGACTCTTTATTGTCACTCAGCTGTGATCCCACACAGATGGTTGCAAAATTTTTCAATAGAACGTCTTAGTCTTACTTTTTCATTGTCAGAAGAAACGTGAAATTCAGAGGGAGAGAGCTGATTTAACTTACGTATGTGTTGACCTAGTCAGGCAAGGAAGCACTCTTGTTTGTCACGGCGTGCTTCAATGGCTGTTTATGACAGCTATAAAGTTTAAATGGACTTTAACAGGAATCGTTCTCTTTGGCTATTTAATCAATAACAATTCAAAACCTCCTATAATCATGATTAATACTATAGTTTCTGTTTGCCTATGATTAGTAAATTATAGACATTTTAATAAATGGCTAATCAATTTTTAGGGATTATTATGGAGGAGTCCTGTCATTAGATTGCTAATTACCATAATTTGTGATCTTTTATAACACGTCTGCTGAAGGCTTATAACTGCTTTTAACACATTTCTCTTCATATCAGTACATAGCAATACCATCCATCTATTAAGTATTTAAAATAAGTTAAATAGAACCTTGTTATGAAATGTGGCTAGCTACGCCAGCAGAGAGAGGCTTGGATGAGTTTGTGACAAAAAATGTAATCTTGGAAAAACGATACTGTTTTAGTTCTTCTCTCACAAAAATTAAATTCATGCTGAACACTATAAATAATGTTGACTCACATTCTAGTTTAGCAAATGTTTAGTAATATTGAGAAGAAAAGTAAACAATATCCTTACATTTGTAGTGTGAGAACTGTAGTGATTTCCACATTGTTGTTCCACTAGTATTTTGTAATTATAAAAAAAGTTTATTTCAACAAAGTTTTATTTTGACACACTTCTAAACCTCAGCTTTAGGACCTGCCATTTCTAAAACTGACTGTTGCATTTTTTCAGGCCTGCGTACACAAGACATCGGCCAGACCTCCAGCGGCGCTGAGCGATTCCCCATCTCCACCGGGAAAGAGCAGAACCAGAAGTTCCAAGCACAGAATGTCACCGAGTGCCTTAATTGATATTTTGATCAATAAATGCCTAGCAAATACCAGGTAAGCCAATCTTCACAATGCTCGATTATGTTTCATATGTCTTAGTGTTTGAGTGGATGAATGACTGCGGACGTATTTCTGGCAGCTGCTCTAGCCCAGTGGTCAGTATATGCTTTAATACTGGCTGCACCAGCAGCCTGTGGTCGGGGGTGGTCTGTCTTGGCAAGTTATATGTGCATGAACCTTCAGGAGAAAAAAATGCTGCGCTGCGGGAATAACCTGGACACAAATGTTTAAAGGTGGTAGCACCTACGTGGCATGACAGGACGGTTACCTGCAAAGATTTGGTCTCAGACGCTTTGGCGTGTGAGTTAAACCAGAGAGGAAAGTTGTCAGGTGAGAAATCAAGGTCAGTTGAGGTATTCTGGTCTGTTTACTGTAAATTCTTGGAACAAGGTCTGCTGTTCTGGGTTTGTATAGTGCCTTGCACAATGGGAGTGTGATCATGGCTTAGACATCAAAGCATTACTGTAATGCAAATCAAATTTTACAGTCAATATGATTCACAATTAGGAGTAATTGCAGCAAGTTCATTGTTCATTGGGTGCAAGGTTGTGGAGCTTTTAGACCACGACCATAGAACCATGAAAATCAAAGACGACCACAGGAAACACTGAGAGAAGGTAAATATCATCACATCATATCGTCAGTGGTCTGGATACAGTGCCTCTGTATCAGAGGGGTGAAATGGAAGTGGGTTATGGAGCCTTTCGCCGCCGAGTCTGAGTCCAACCCTTCTCAAACAAAGCAACCACTGACTTTTTACCAGCTGATGGGTGTTTGGCAGGTTCTCTGAAATAAGCTCATGGGTTTCAATCACGTCTTAGTAGATTGGCACACGAGCGCACTAAAAATCTTGCAGCCTGCACATCAAGATGATGGGGAGAAAAAGTTTAAAAAATTAAAATAAAAAAAAAAATCCAGCCCTCAGGCGGCTACTGCTGCCTTACACCCAGCACTCATGAGTATTCTTCCCTTCTGTCGAATGCAATGTACACCAAATAATTACCGTCTAATTTTTGCAAGCTTTCTGCAAAACTCCTAATGTCTACAAACTAACAAAGAATTAGTGTTTTTCTATCAAATATTATCACAGTTGTGGTTTAGAAAGCTGGACGGTATCACCCTCAGGCGCTACTGCTGCCTTACACCCAGCACTCATGAGTATTCTTCCCTTCTGTCGAATGCAATGTACACCAAATAATTACCGTCTAATTTTTGCAAGCTTTCTGCAAAACTCCTAATGTCTACAAACTAACAAAGAATTAGTGTTTTTCTATCAAATATTATCACAGTTGTGGTTTAGAAAGCTGGACGGTATCAGTGAAGTAGAACAGGATATAAATTCAGCAATTCGTAAGAAAAAGGTCCTTAAAGCTGTTAAACCTTAAACAATGAGCTAATTAAACATTGCAGAATGCCTGAGCAAACAATGAATTAATGTTTATTGTGGATTAGAATTTTTATTTGGTTGGCGGTAATGTAACATTAGAGAACAGGATCTTTTGTGTAGATACTGCTCAGGAGGAACCGAACTGCCATGCCCTGTGTCACTTACAAGGAAAATTTGCGTTTGGATTTTATTTGAGTCAGATGTGATTCCTCCCTGCGTATAAGGACCTTGCATTTACAATGGTCCTTTTTTCCCCCTGGGCTTTATGGCTTTATTTCTGAAGCAAGAAGGAAAGATATTTGTCACATCCAGTCGGTTGTCTGTGGTCTTAGGCACGATTATGCCCTAAAGTATGTTTTCTAGTCTAGTTTGAATTGTCTGAGTGGCTCCTGCCACGTCCCTTAGGAGACTTTTCCACAGCCTTCACTGTCAGGAAATATTTCCTGTTTAATAGCTTACATTTTCCACTTGCTTATCTGCATCCCATCACTCCTAGAAATATCACTGAACCACCCTAAACAATTCTTTTCCCTCCCTGGTGTTTACAGCATTCAAATAGTTCCTTCATAATCTGTAATTCCTGTTCTTGCTTCATCCATCCTTTGTCCCACCTCTTGACAACGTGCCCTTCACCTTTCCGCCATTTCCACCTCAAAGTCTTTCACCTCTCTCTCTCTGAAGCCCCTTTCTTACCGGGACTCAGTACGTATCAGATCCCGTCCTGCAGTCCTCTCACCTGACTGCTCTTTCGATCAACCCTCCGCTCCCCCATTTTCTTTCTTGTTGTTTATTTTATTGCCCAGAAAAATGCGGCAGAACGTGGGGTTTTGGGGTGTTTTGGTGGGTTTTGTTTGTTTTTGTAGTTGAGGTGCTGAAACCATTGCTGTGATACGAGCTGCCCTGGAGGGTTTCATAGCTTACTCCCGTACCTTGCTGGTACACGTCGGTTAAGCCATGAGCATCCACACTTCGCTCAGGATAGTTTTAGATACTAGCCAGGATTTCCAAAAGCTCCTTGCCTACTTGGAAGTAATATAATTCAGTGTACATATACATTCAGTATACGTATACACCTGGCCTTAGAATTGCTATGTTATCAACTATGTCTGGCTCTTACATTGTATTATGGATCCTTGATTTAAGTGGCAATGCACCACATCATAGGTGTCACCTTGACTTTACTGGGCTTTAGTTTAGAGTAGGGCTGAACTGGGCTGAAGGCCTCCTCTTCCTTCACAAAGTTCAAGACAGTTAAATTTAGGGAGTCTCTCTTGGCAAGTAAGCAGTCCTACTTATCTCTGTTTCTTCCTTGTCAAATTTACAACTGGTTTCCTGACCAAAGCTGTTTCTTGGCACCAGAATAGCTGGAAAACAATACAATTACATATTGTTTTCATTTTATTGTAAATGTTTTCAATTGTTTTAGCCATCAAGCCTAGCTTGGAAACTTGAGGCAAAAAATTCCTTCAGTTGAGAACTCCCTCTTCTGTTCACTTACGCAGCTGGAGGGAGGACAGTGCTTCTGGCTGGAAGCCAGAGTGTTAGCAGTTTGCCACTGTGCTATTGTGTGATCTAGGAAAAGACCCTTAAGCTCTTTGGACCGTGGTCAGACTGCCTGAATTCCGTACAAGTTCCTAAATCTACTTTGTTCTACTTATTCCCTGCTTACTGCCCTACTTGGACCTGCTGAGCTGCTGCCTGGAAGCCCGCATCTCCTCTGACTCCGTGCCGTGAGACAGGTGGTGTTCAGCCTGGCTGAAAATTGCCCTTTTAATTTGCCCATCCGCACAAAAGAGTTACTAAAACAGGTTTTGTCCTTCTGGATAAAGTGGTTGGAAATCTATTAATTTTATACGTTGACGGTTAGCTATGTTTATTAACTATATTTAATT